ACTTTTTTTGGCTCGTGACATTGTAGCGTTCCTAAAAAATAATGATTTTAATTTTTTTAAATTTTGTTTTAAATATTCATAATAAAAAATAGAAACTTACCATTTGTTAAAGCGTTCAATTAATCAATGCGCCCCGTTATCTACTTTAGTACACAGCGCGTTTCTTTTTTTGTTTTTGTATTCTGGCGCGTAATGTGTGCGGTAGCGTCATGCGCATGCATCCGGTTTCCTGTTCCGTTCTGACCCTCCTCTTGTGGGTTGGTCTGTCTGTGTGTCATGTGTAGCTCGCCGTGTCATCACGCTGTACAACCAGTGTGCGCTAAATAAACTTTATATCCTTTATACTGTGCATTCTCTGAATCCCGTACAACCTTAACACCATTTTTTACCGCACCACGATAGTAATTCAGCAGGCCGGCGATATAGCCTCCCGCATCCTCTTCTTCGTTGTCGTTAAACACACGCCTCATCTCGATTATTTCGCCGGCAATAATCAAAAGCTGGAGGTAAATCGAGAAATGCCCCAAACGGATAAAACCGCGAGCACCGCGCTAAGGCACGCACCCGCAAACTTTGCGAATACAACATAATTATTATCGTCGGATAACGACGATAAATAATTATCGATGCAGAGCCCGTTTAAACTAACTTGCGTCAATCGCAAACACGATTCGATAATTTCCCGCAAACTAGACATTTTTAATTCAACGTGGTTTCGATACGCAGTGAAATCACAAGAAGACGGAAATACAGATCGCTATGATCCCGAATGCGCGAGAAAATGTGAAACTGTGCGATTTTTCAGTGTCTTCCCGTTTTATACTAGTTTTCCCCCCACCTTGAGAAAATTTAGGAAAAAAGCATCGTTTTCAAATATTTTTATTACACTTCCTTTGAAACTGGACAACGGTCCAGGTCCTTTCATCGTACAACGTTTCGGTCATTTCGTCGTACTTTTCACGATAATCCTATTATTCAACGAACGATACTTCAAGATAGGAGAGCAAGGTGCTTCGGAAAAAATAAAATATCAAGTTGATTGATTCAGGGTAAGAATAATCCTATAATATTGAACACGTAGTAAAAATTCCGACGATAAACTGTTAAGAAATTGTTAAGAAATACTACGCGACGGGTAGAAATTCTATTGATTGAATAAGAATAATCCTATATATCAATTGCGTAGTAAAAACCACAATAGGGTAGCAAAAATTTTTCCGTTATAAGATCATGAAAATTTATTCCGTAACATGTTGCGACACGAAAATTTATTCCGTAACATGTTGCGACACGAAAATCGAAACTTTCTTTATCTAGTAGAATTTTCGTGGGAATTCGGAAAAGTAATATTTGTTAATGCGTCGCCTTTGCGACCAATCATAGTGCTTAAAAGTTTATATGTGTTCAAATTTCCCCCATCATTTTCCGATTTTCTGTTACGTGGAAGATTGTAACATTTTTTTCTCATTCGTCTCCTAGCATTCGAACCTACAAGTTCAACAGCGAACAAGTTTCAGTTTTCGTATTTTTGTTTCGTGTCTGCGTATAAAAATCAGTGTCATGGATAAACGCCGGAAAATTGTGAAATACGAAAAGCCGACAAAGTGCAGCGACACTTCCGAAGCAAGATGCGACATCTTTGAAAAAATTGTGCAGAATTGCATGCTGTTATCTACAACATATGGATTGAATTTTTCTTATACAAAGAAAATTCATGTTGAGCTGCAAACTTCAATCAACGGCGACAAGTTTGATTTTCAACCTTTCGTTAAATTTTCATCCAAGGGAGCCGATGGTATTTCAACATGGCGAAATGGTAAAAATTTCAAGAAAATATGAAGCAAATGTCGGATTACTTAAATGGAAATAGTATTACGGCAAACTCGATTATTATCAACAAGATAATTATAAATTTCACCACTGTTTATGGAGCAAGAGCTTTGTTATTGACATATCGAGAAAACGGACAAGAAGTTCCACCTTTGGAAAATACCGCGACTAAAGAAGAAATTCATGCTCCGAAGAAACTCCGAAGAAACGACTTATTTGCTCGCTATAGCAATGCAGAGAGCTAGTTTTCTGGGGCTAGAAAATATACTCGAATGTGTAAACGCTAATTTGAATCGACTGAATATAATCACCACTAGTGCCAATGATTGCGCTAAATATCTTATTAATGAAATACAAATAAGACTACCTATCGTGGGCTATATCAAAAACAATATTATAAAACTCGCGTTCAAATCTAATTGTCACGAAATACAAACTAATGTACGTACGCAACTAAAAGATTTAACATTTCTCGACGATCAATTTGAAATTGTATTTTTAGAATTAATCGCTCTTTACTTTGATCAAATTGTACATATAATTAGATTTCAACAAAAATTGTAATTCATACATTAATGTATACTTTTATCATTTATAATTAAATTTGATTCTATTAAAAATCATAAAATGTATAAACTTTATTTTGTCAGTACAATTATGTATTCTTAAGAAAAATTTCAAATAAACGATTTTGTATTCCATTTTTCGTGTTTGTTTCCTTCCTCTTTTCGCATGTTCCTGCACTCCTCAATCCATACAGCGCGCTCAATCCGCCAAAACGGGTGGCTCACCCCGTTCACGCGATATCGCCACCTTAACCATCATGCCGAATATCAGACTAAAAGGCGTCCGATCATTCGTCGCTGCGTTCTTTTGTTCGCTATACCGGCGCACGCTCTATACCGTTTGCACAGGAACCTCCTTAGTCGTCATCTCGTCGAATATCGGTCTAGCAGAATCCACTGTTTGATTCCGTCGTTCTTTTGTTCTCCCATACTTGCCCGCTCACAGGTCTCTTGACCGTAGTTCTATCATCCCCCGCCCGACACCTTGGCGATGTTTGTTTACATTTCCCATACCTGCCAGAGAGTCCGGGGTACCTCATATAGACGCGGCCCCACCATAAAAACGCCCCTTCACGAGGCGACTGTGTGACGTCGTTTGTTTTGATGCCCCATACTTGCCAGGCCCCATACCTGCCAGGCCCCATAGCTATAAATACGATCCTACGACTTACTTCATTAGATCTATAGGTAGCCATGCGGACTAGGACCAGGACTAGAAACCCACTGATCCAGGTTCGAACCCGGTTTGGATTTTCTCAATTCGGAAAAAAATAAAAATTTGCGTCATCCCGCGTCTGCCATAAATACGACCCTACGACTTACTTTATTAGATCTATAGGTAGCCCAGCAGACTAGGACCAGGACTAGAAATCCAGCGATCCAGGTTCGAACCTCGTTTGGATTTTCCCAATTCGGAAAAATAAAAATTTCCGCCATCTTTTTACCCATCCCGTCAGAGAGGGGTGGGGGAATGTTTTGACGCCAGACCATAAGTAGGTTACTGGGTCAAATATGGGGTAGGTGATGGGGGTTTGTTGTGATGCCCCATACCTGCCAACATACTACTAATATAGTTTTTCAAATTTTTCGGAACATATAACAATTATAAGGATTAAATTCAAATTTTAATTCCAAGAAATACGGACTTATTTTTGCGCGTATCATATAAAGACAAAATCAGATAAGATTAAATAATTTTTAAAAAATTATACAAATTTTGTAATTAATTTACTGGCATCAGCAGCGTAACTGATACTTCGAGTAATCAAAAAATTATTAAAATCGAGTTGTATAATTCCAACATTTGTTGTTAACCCGAATGATATTTCATATGCATATTTATGAGAATCTAAGCCAATATTTTTGCAATAATTATAAATAACATAAAAATTGTTTAGAGTTATCAATAGCAATGTACTTAATTATT